CGGCAGCGCCCGGTGTCCCTCGGGTGCCTGTTCCCCCTAGTGCCAGCACTGCCCTGTGCCAGTGTCCCCTCGGGTGCCTGTCGCCCATGATGCCAGCGCTGTCCTGTGCCAGTGTCACCTCAGCTGGCTGTTCCCAATACACCAGGAACTGCCCTTGTAATGGTGTCACCTCAGGTGCCTGTCCTAGTACAGCCCTGTGCCAGTGCCACCTCAAGCGCTGTCCCTGTGGGTGTCAGCACTGCCCCGGGGCCGGTGTCACGCTCTGGTCTCGGAACTCAGTGTAACCACAAGCGTATGACAAATTTAGGAGGTTTAGTGACTTAGAGAGTCTTGGCAAATCATTGGCATAGCTGGATATGATCCAAACCAAACTGCTCCTCATGGAAAACCAGGTTATCCTCAAGCCAGCAGCGCCTCTGGGATCTCTCCGTCGCACTGAGCACAAGAGCTGCAGGGCTGAGCTCTCCATCCTGCCCGTCCCAGGCTGGGGCTGCGTATCCCTGCTCCCGTTGTTTGCGATCGTAGAATTGCACAAAGGAAACCTCAGACCTGCCCAGCCTGCATTAATCTGAATTATTTATTTCTGTTGCTTTGACAGGTCAAAAGGCTATGGAGCAGAACAAGGGAGTGTTTCAGGGGCAAACTCTGGCTAAGTAAGTACTGATTTATTAACTGGGAGCTGAACACACAGTGGAATTGAATACGTTGGTTTATTAAAGATGGGAAACACAAAGTATTATTTCAGAAGCAAACATGATTCTTTGTTCATTTCTTCTGCTGCTTTTTATGTGAGCTATGGAGAGGTTACTGATAACTAGGACAACACAGCTCATTCCTTTAGTTAATAATCTAGTGACTGCCTTTATTTTTATTTTTAAAAATATGTATATCTGAACAAACAAAGAAAAATGAAAGCCAAGTGGGATTTTATTAAAGTGCTAACTATTTGAAATGTTTTTCAAAAATTGTCAAAGTTGCTAGGCTACAGGAGTATAAGCTTGCATATCATGGCTTTTAAAACCTCAAAAATCTCAAAAACAAACCTATTAATTGTTAGAGCCATAATCTTAATTTACACGTTGCTCTTACCAGCTGCTAAGTAATGCACTTCTCATTTACAACACAATCATCTTTTCCAACACAATCCAAGTTCAGTTCTTCCCCACTATTATTAACCTAAAAAATATATATATTGGCAAAGCACAAAACAGTTTTTAAGAAGAAGTGTAAATACAGGCCAGATCTGAATCTGGCTGTATTCAGCTTTATGAAGGCTGTATCATTGAAATCAGGCATTGATTGCCTTGTTAAAACAATTAATCGGGTCAGAGAGGTTTAGGAATGGCAGGATCTTGCTCTATATATGTAGACACTACTGAAAGTTTCTCAAGATCGAGTGGCTTTACAGAACTCAGTTGTTCCCCATCCTCACTTGTCTGTTGCAGAAGTTGATGTTCCAGGACCACAGCAACATACAGAGCACTTCCTTATATAATCAGCTAGGTAGAATAATTTATCATAATTTTATGAATAAGCATACTGCATATTTTCAGGTTAAAAAACTCTTATATCATTATTAACCTGAGGCAGTCCTAGCTAATATGACACATATTAATTATAAAAGTCTCTCTTCGTAGATGTTGGATCACACCATAAAACAAGATTTTTATATGTTTTGAATATATGTGTTCTGTTGTACTAAAGATTAATGCATGCACTTTTCATTATAGAAAAATTTTACACTGCAAAAATGCTGTATTCAGAATATGGCACTTATTTTTCAACTTTAAGAAGCCTTCTTTTTCTTACCGATATGAGTGGTAAATATAGTCATATAAAAACTTGAATTAAAAAAAAATGAAAATAGTTCTTGTTTTGATACTTTCAAATAAATCCAAAGGCTATTTTATGAGAGATCTTGTTGGTCTCAGTTTTAACTGACATATATGAAATTCCAGGCCGTCATAGAGGAATCTAGGGAATGATTCCTCTCTTCACAAAAAGAATATTCTAGGTGTCTATTTATTTCCATTAATTGTACAAAAACATTCTAGAAGGTCAATTTAGAATACATATCTCATGGCAGAAGACATTAGTTCCCATCAATGCCACCAGGATCCTGAGGATAATGCAGATCCTTTATATGTCATAGATATAATGCTAATTATTTCTGTGCTGTGAAGACTCATAAATCAGAAATTATCCATCCACGGATGTGTATGGCTGACAAAGTGAGTAAAACTGTTGCACAAATTAGTTGTATTTCTTAGAATGGAACTCTGGAGCAGAAGATTCTAATGGAGTGTTGTATCACAAACAGTTTATATAATTCCTGTTGTTAAAGCTATGTTTTAGAAGGGAAAAGCAAATAGTACTGGGTCTAGAATGTGGGTTAAAGATCAAAACCTAAATGAACGTACTGTGGAAGATGGAAATCTTTACTTAAATTGCTCTGCATAGGTTTAACGTGTCTGCATAGATATATTCATATGAGCTTTCCTATTTGTCTGTGAAGCTACGAGTAAAACAGAGAAGGCATAAAACAGATGCTGAAAGTAAGAACTAAGCATTTCTTAAAAAAATCATGTTCTAAATTACAGTTTATTCTAAAGGCTACAAAGAAAAAAAGTATTTCTTTGCCTTTTAAGAAACATTCAGAAAAATACAGATGTGTGTAAACTTTAATGCAAGAGGGAGAACTCAGCTGTAAAGATCTAACTGGAGCAAAAAATCAGTTTTCATAAAGATAAAACCTGGAGTCAGTAGACCTTATTATCTGGGCTTTGGTTTGTTTGAACCTGAAAACATAGAGTACTTTGCATGCACTATTGCTCTCTCTTCCTACAGATAAAGAGTTATAAATGACAGCAGAATATGAATCATCTCTATTTTACTAATACGAAAATGGAGTGAAAAAGATAAGAGCTTGCCTACATCACTTGAAAAATGAGACACCTTCAGGTGTTTTGAACTGTTTTAGAGTAAATGTAATCAAAAAATATCTGCTCAAACACAAGTTATTATTGCCATGCAGGAGGAACCCATCTGAAGTGTGTGTTTGGTATCTTGTTCCTTGTGTGTTTCTTTGCCAAATGACTGATGAGATATAAAAGAAAAAGTAACAGTTTTCCATGTTCCACATCCAGGCAATTTTCAGGATTCGGATACCATATGATGGCCGTGTTCTGTTAGCACTATTTTCAGACCACCAGCAGGACTGATATAGTAGTTACAGCAGCAGTCCATACCTCTATGGGAGTAGTTGGTGGGTTTAACTAGCAGGTCCATCTTCATTTGGAGAGTCATAGCCAAGTTATAAGGTGGCTCTGGTAGCAGAAAAACTGCAGTAATCTGCAGCTTTAGGCACTGATGGAAGATCTAGGTAAGAAAGCAGCCAAAGATCAGAAGATGAAAATAGTGAGACTGAGAAGCTGCTCATTGAAAGCTGCTCATTGAAGCTGCTGTTATGAAAGAAGTTTTCCAGGACTTGTTGATAGAAAAGAAGTCTTTAAATGATTTTACTTTAAAAATTATGTTGAGATTTTAATTATGATGTTGTATATGTAACAAGTATTCTACAGTTCTTGTAGGAATGATGGGATATGCAACATTTAAACATCACAAAAACACTTCCAAGGATGGGCTGGGTACAAGCATACTGTGTTTTTTGTCATCACCCCTTTTGTAAGCTGCCATTACCTTACATAGGTGCTGCGCTGTCTTTAGTTCCTGCATGACTGTCTCTCAGGCAATTATTTAATAAATTAATTGATTTCTTGGCCAAGACACAGGGAGAGGAAAGGGAGCTATGAAATATGGAGGATTACCAGAGGAATTACCTATGCACATTTTTACAAGCTGCCACTTCATGGAAACATTGGAGTGACTGCACACTGATTACCAACGGTAGAGGCCTTTGCCACACAGAGTTATGTACCATCAACTCTCAAGGATTACATAACTTATATGCTTTTATAAATCAAAGTACTATAATCACTGGCCATTACATTTACTTTTTAAGAAAATCTCAGTGGGCTAAATAATACCCTGAAGAGAAAAATAGCATATGGTCTAACAATAAACAATGACAAAGTATTCTTAAACACTTTTCTATGAAAAAACTTATTTTATTAAAAGACTAAATGTATCATCATGAAAAGTAATTGATCACAATACATTTTGCATTAGTTTAAATTTAAGGGGGTATAGTTA